ACATGTACTTAAAAAGTATAACCATGTGTATGCGTGAGGCAAAGTCATGCAATTTGCCCCTGGATTTCTGAGCACCATGCACTGGTTTCTTCAAGGGTGCCCAGCTGCAAATGTTTGGCACTGCTGGTGTTGTCAGTCCATATAGGAAGTCCCCTGCAGTTTTGCACAGGATCTTTTGCAAACAAAGTTTGCTAGTAGCTTGGTTACACAAAGCTGAGGGATCTCTCTGTGCTTGCTATGGTATGACTGCCTCCGGTGCGGCTTGCCAAGCTCTGCCAGTAAGTCATGGTTAGGGTTATCTTTCTCTGCACACTTAGTACCATATGGGAGCAGAGCGACATAATTTTGTGATATATGTGAAAAACTGACTTTGCCTGTTGCTCACAGAGCATAAGCTGTCCCTTGTCCTTGTGCCAAAGTGTTAAACTAAGTAGAGATTTGGGGATAGGGAGGAGCATCCTTTTCTTTCCACGGGTTTGCTTCTGTTTCACTCATTGCAGGTCCTTTCAGGGAATAACAAACCATGGAGTGGGATGAGAAAATTCCTCTGTAAGGGTTCTTGCCTGTGGGGACACTGTGGGTGGAGGTACCACATGAGTACTTTCTGTGACTCCATTCTTAGTCATTGTGTCCCAAGAGCTGTGTCTTCCAGGAACTCATTTTAGCTTCATCAGGTACCTGATGTCAATAAGGATCACTCTGTCCACCTCATGGGCTGATGAACACTAAAGTGATCTAGACCTGTAGGAGGAATAGGATGTCTGTTTTGCAGTTTGGCTTCCATCCAATGAAATGATTTACGACAGTACTCTGCATTCTCTAGGTCATTGGCTGGATCTGCCACACGCTGAACTTACAGCTCTTCACTGCAGATACCTGTCCAACTGACTTGGGCCATGCCTCTGTCCCTGCTCTCTGGGCCATCAGGAATTTTCTTTTACTTGTGTTTGCAACCTTTAAAAGAGCAAACTAGCAGTTTTGAACCCTTTTCCATGGGTTTATTGGCTTGTATTGGAGGATACTTTGATTACTGAAAGGGTAGGAGAACTCTGCCATAGGAGGCATACAGAGGGTCAAACTGTCCTTTGTGCCTCACAGTCAAGCGATAATTTTTGCTGAAGTTTCTCTTCTTTTGTTCATGAGTAGCATAGTCAGAAGCCTCATAGTCATGCCTTTTTACAGGCTGGTAACTCTCATCCAGTCACCTACAGGTGTCCTGTTCACCCTTCTGGGGCATGTTGTATGACTTCATATAGTTCTTGGAAGCAGTCTAAGAATGATAGCAGATGATAATTTCCGTGGGCATTTCCAGAAAGTTTTTAAAATAACCGTAAGATCTGTACCTCTAAAATATTGTTGAAAACCATAGAGTCTCTGGCATCAAAAGCCTATCTGAGTGCTCCCAGACCAGTCAGAGATAAACATCCTGATTTATGATGTCCCCAGTGGCTAGAATTGTTTGTGCCATTTTGTGGTTGTGCTGTTACAATCTGTGTGCTGTAGCTGTTCCCACCACTTCTTGGAGGTCAGCAGTCCAGATCAGGTTTCCTAACAAACATTTTTATTTTTTTACCTGTACGTCCAGTGATTCATTGTCTTGGGATGTTTGTAGACGGTGGGGTCCTGGCATGTTTCTTGGGCAGATGTGAAGTGCTGTCTTTCTACTGAGGAAAACAAAGCAGACTAAGAATTATGTGGGTTTGGGGGTTTCCTTTTACATGACTCTAAGAGAAGGTCAAGGAAATTTGTATATCAGCTTGGAATCATTGATTTTGTTGAAATTCAAAGAGGAACATAGTTTTCTTCAGTCTTACAATCTTGCTTTATATGAAAAACAAAAATTCAGGAACAGAAACAGAACTTCTGTAGTACAGTATTTCCTTGTTTATTTGCTAGATGCAGAAAATTTTCAGCCTCACAATAGCTCAGGTTTGGGTTCAGGAGCTTCTCCTGAAACCTGCAGTCCTAGCATAGTTACCTAGATGAAAACACCTCTGCGTGCACTGGCAGTAAATGCTACAAGCAGGAGACATGGATTTCATGGCAATAGCAGTAGCCTGTGTTCTGCAAGACTTGGTATTACTACTGAGGAAGGTCAGGAGTGCTCAATGCATGTCTGAGTATGTGGACTAGTCTGCAAGTGCATGTTAGTCAAATAGCATTGTTGTTTGAGCATATTGCCTGTTGCGGTCCCTGCATGCCATCTCCTTTCAGTGCAGATTAAAGGCTGGGGTCTTATTTACTCTCCAGTAGAGTGCATGGCTGAGCTGGTGCACACAACAGCTTAGTTTCTCTTTGAGCTTGAACACAGAAGAACAGAGATTCATGGCTCCCCGCCCCCTGCCAGAGTAAATTGACCTCTCATAGGCATCTCTTCACCTAGTGGTGTGAGGATAATGCAGGGCTGTGTACAGAAAGAAAAAAGCAGGCTTTCTGATGGGACAGGGCCCGGGGCTTTTCTTTTGGGGGGCATTCAAGTGTGTTAGGCTAAAATAGAAAACAGGTGAAAGAGATCTACTCCCTGTCATGTGGCTTTGGGCTAAGTCTCTCTTGCAGCATAGCTGCTTGATCTTAAATCTTGGAGAGTGAATATTTCTCATGTTTCTTACCGTTGCTTTTGGTGATCAGGTCTCTCGCATACCACCAAGCTCTTTCTGTGATGGTTACCAGAAAAGAGGCAAAAGTACTGACTCTAAAGAGGCTCCTGGTGGGGTCCTGTACCTCAAACCCTTACCCTTCTGTCTTTTTTTTCATTTTGCACCTATCTCAGGTTAAGCCTGTAGGTCCTCTGGGCCCCAGATCAGCTCTGTCTCATGGAGCATGTGTGGCCCACCTTTTGGATAGCAAATACTGACATCTCCTAATTCTTTTTATGTATCTAGCCTGAGTGGTTCCTGATTGATCACATCTTGTGAACAATCTAATATCACATGCCTGTTTGTATTTGTATGCATCTGTTTTACACATATCTATTAATTTGATCTGTTCTCTTTTGCACAATGCTAGCACACCATTTTTCTTTCACGTGCAGACATAGCTCATTGCGTTGGCAATAAGGAGCAAAGATTCCCTGTGAAGGCCTGTAGCCATGACTGTGTTATAAAAGATATTCTTATCACGCCATCAAATTAAAAAGAAGATTAAGGCCCAGCTTCAGGAAGTCATTCGAGCAGGTTGACTGACTGAAATGGGATTCATCCATGTGCTACAGTAATTTCCTACATACCAGTCTAAGTCACTGCTCTGAGCAAGGGTAACTGAAGATCGACAGAGGATAGTGCATTTGATGGTGTGATGTGAGCAGCTATTCAGTAGCTCACTCTTGAAATGCGTGAGACTGTAAGCTCTTAAACTGGCCCGAGGAAATTATTTTAACCCTATAGATTGCCTATCTTTATGTCTTTTTCCCTTTCTTCCTGAAAGACTTGGATTAGGAAAATATGAGTTCGGAGCCTTGGCACTGCTTTTCACTGCTGAGGATGGGACTCAGCCCGACCAACACTTCCCACATGAGACGTCTGAACTTGTTCTATACACTGCCCCTATCCTCATCAATAGAGAGGCGCTTCTCTAAAAGTCTGAGTTGTCCTACCTCACTCTTACTTACAAGGGGTGGATCACCTTTTGGAAGCACCCCTTTCTGTGCTGTCTGGAGGCAGGGGAGGAGGAGTGAATCCCCTCACCCCTTCCCTTTGCCCATAGCTCTCCCCTGTGTTAAAGGTGAAAGACAGCAACTAGGTCTGCCACCTTATATACCTAATGTTGGCCTTCTGTTGCCTAATTTTACGAACTACAGTGTTTAATTACAGTCATTCCTGTTCCCTGCTTCATCTGGACATAAGGAAAGTCTCAGTTAACTGCATCTGAGGCTGAACCACTGGCAAGCAACAGATACCAACAGTATTAGGTTAGGTCCACATAATGGTCAAGCTATACTCCTTCTGAAGACAAAAGTTAGGCCAAGGAGCTGGGAAAAAATCCAGTTACTAGGAGAGAAAAATATACTACTCACTGGGTGTGCGTTGCAGTGTTTAATGAAAAAGTTTCATCTAGATCTGTTTGTGTCCTTAGGCTCTTGGGGAAACTTCATCTTGATAAATGTCCATGCTGAAATGGGGGGTTGGACTAGATGACCTCTAGGGGTGCCTTCCAACCCAAAACATTCTATGATTCTATGAAATTATACCATCCAACTGTCAGGCCTTAAGCTGGTAGTTCATAAGCCCTTTGCTGTTGCGGCATGAGAAACTGGAATTTTGTGCTCCAATTCATTGAATCAATTTTGGAGTGAAAAATGATAAATCCCATAGGTTTAGTCCCCTGTTAATCTCATCATCGTTGGACTTCCCTTTCTCTCTCTTTGCTTTTCCTGGCTTCTAGAATCATTCTGGTGGTTTTATTTCCATGTATTTATGAAGAATATTAGCAGAAAACAGTTTTTCTGAAGTTATCAGTTTTGGCACTGCTTACACCTCCAGAGACAAGGGAGCACTCTAATAAGTCAGGACTCTAATAAGTCATTGGCTTTCAGAGCTGTTTTCCGTTCTCTGCAGTTGAGTGATTCTTAATCATTTAACAATTATTGATGAAGTTGACTCATGTCTCAGATAGTGCCTTTATGATGCCAGAGGAGGTTAAAATGATGCACACTATGGTCAGATTCTGATGTGGCTTGCACCACCACTAATTGTAGACTCAGTGCTTTTCCTGAATGGTTGTCTCCCAACTTCATCTCTTATTGCCCCAAGAAATCCACAGTGGCCTGATAATGCAACAACCTGCGGGACCAGAACAATTTCAACCACATCTGCATTTTATAAAGGCACAATATGGTAATTGGAGTGACCTTGGGAAAGTTCAGCAGTCATTTGTTACAGATCCTGTGTTTCTGGTGGATGCTGGTGGGAACGCTGAGTGTGGCATGCCTCCTGTGATGAGGAAGGACTTTAAAAATTCCCTGTGCTCCTTGAGTTCTGATGTCATTTTTCTCTTAACTGCAGGTCACTTCATGGGCAACAACACAGTGATTGATGTTTTGAGGAGAGAAGGGTACGAGGTAGAACACACTCCAGCTGGACAAGCCATCAACAAGTAATGCATGCTTTTATCTAGATGAGCAGCCATTGGGAGGGTGGGTTTGTAAACAATCATGAAGAGGTAGTGGCAGCTGGAACTATACCTAACAGTGAGCTAGGCTCCCTCTCTCCTCTCCAGCAATTTGCTTCCCTCTTCCATGAGCCAGTTTGGAAACAGGATTTTATTTCGTTTGGGTTTGGCTTTTTTGATGTAAACAAAACATCATCTTGGTTGTTTGGGGTGTTTTTTTTTGTTTTTTTGTTTTTTTTTTTAAAATAAACTGAAAATATCCAACCGTCACCCCGCAAGTTTTTAACTCTTAAACTGCCAGTCATAGAGTATGCATGCTTGGTTCATCAGATCTGGATGCTGTCTCATACCACATAGGCTTCCAGGCTCCTCTTTCCTCTCCTTTAAGTGCTGCCCTGCCTGTGAATACTCTCCTTCTCTTACACTGCTATTTTTGATTCTTTCTGATTACTCTCTCTCAGCCTGGAATCTGACTGCCCAGAGTCCAGCCAGCAAGCTGTCCCCATGACTGATTGCTCTCATGTTCCCTGCTCTCTTCTGCATTTTTAAGACAAGGTACTTGCTATTCTGGTTCATCTTGCAGATTGCAGTCCTTTGGGATATACCCTTACTGCCTCTTTTTATCTCTCACTGTGTGCCTTTATCCATCTCCATGATTTCAGTAAATACAGAATGCCAAATAGCCTCCTCCTCCACACTCTGACAAGAATTACATGTGCTCTCGACTCAACTCTTCCTGGACTTCTTTCCACCAGCTTAGGCTCTGCAATCCTTGTCTCCCCCTTCTCCAGACTCTTGTCAAACATGTGCTCTTGTATCTCTCAGATATCGCCACTCTTCCTTACAGTCACTGCTAAAACACCACAGTGGAAAAAAGGTTTGATCCCAGTTATGGTACTGTTTCCCTTTTATCCCCTGTGCCAGGCATGCTGTCCCTCACTGCTTACAACCCTGTTCCTCCTCCCCCATGTTTCTGATATGGGGCTGTCAGGCAGGACGATCACCTTTTTGTGCAGGGGGTATAGTGCAGAGTCTTGGTCTGTACCAGGGCCTCTGCAGATGTGGTGCAAAATAACAACGTGTTTTTCGCATACTCTGGTTGCTTCACCTTTCTCTTTGCACCACTTTTGCTGCCTTTTTCAGACCATGAGATTCAAAATCTGGCAGGTCATGGTTTTGCTATGATTCTTGACATGGACATACATCATTAAGTCTACTTCCACTGAAACAAACTGAGCCAAGACTCATCCCCATGAGTACATGAATGCAGCCCCTAACCCTGTTACCACCAATGGGCAGGTAATTTGACATGCAGAAGCATATAAGTGTTTATGGGGATAATAAAAAACACACCTGCACTGATATTTTTGTGTTGTTGTTTTTTTTTTCTCCCCAGAACATTCTTGGCTTAGGTATTCCTAAAAACAGCCATAGCAGCTTCTTAAAGCTAAAGAAAGAGAGCTTAATATGTACTTGAGATAACAAACAAAATCCAATAATGCTCTGTAAAGGTGTAGCTGTAAGGAAATCAAGGGCAGACAACTGTGGAAAAGAGAGCTAGATCTTCACCCGTCAGGAAGGTAGGTGTCAGTGATACTCAGGGTAGCTGGGCACCCAGTTCTCTGACCACATCCTGGGAGTTCAGTGTCCAGCCAGTGACTCTTGTGCCTTTGGGAGCCCTTTTGGCACTGGTTGTATCTGAAACCTTAGGATTACTGGACAGAACATCTTTCGTGGAGTCTTGATTTTAAAACTGGGTGAAGATGGCACTTTAATGTTTTCTTTGAGAAAAGGAGTTAATGTTTCTGTATGAATTGGAAACAGATTTAAAAATATGAGATGATTTTCAAGAAAAATATGACTTCTGAAGGAGAATAGCGTTTGAGGTGAGGGAAAGATCGGTGGCAAGAGTAGGTCAGAGTCCTGGGGGAAAGGTGATGGAGGGTGTCACTTGACTGCTATCCTGGGCTTGTAATAGGAGCAAATACCAGGGCAGTCTGTGTCAAACCCAATCCAGGCCACGTAAATGTGGAACCATATCCAGCTACTGTCCTAGATAGCGCCGTACACAGTCCAGTCAGTGCCTATAGACTATTTCATAGGACAAAATTGAGAGAGGAAAAAACTGGTGTTCGAACTGAAGACAGAACATTCAAATGGCTGTTCTACTGTTGGATATAGTAGGGGGTATTAGCTGAGCAGTCCTAAAACAAGAGGATGAGGAATTCTGCAACTGTCACCCTTCTCTACAACATGACATTGTGCACTAGCAGCGCAGTCTGCTGCTTTCTGTGCTCTGGCTAAGCAGAAAGTCCCTTCTGAAGTATCTTGTAGGTATCTGCATGTAGGAACACAGAAAGATGCGGGATCATTATGCATGTTTTCCTGTAACAGGCAAACTGCTGGGTGCAGTCACACAACTTCACCTGCAGACAGGGCTGCTGGAGGTGTCCTGCCCATCTGCCGGGAGAAGGAGATGAATGTCTGTAGTCGAGTGTGGAAGCAGGAGGGTCTCACAGGGGAAGAGTCAGAGATCACTCAGACAGATCTGATCTAGTAGTTAGTTTACTGAGCTCTAATCAGTAAATTTAGATATGTAAAATACATAAGTACAGATGGATTGTCAGTCAATACTCTACTATATACTACATTGAAGTTAGTATGGGATAAAAAGGTTATCACTTAAGCTTACTATACATATCTTAAATGTTACATGCATGCAAAAAATGTCATCAACCCATCAATGTCTGGTGTCTGGTAAGGGATTTCATCTCTTGGCCTTGAGGGGTAACCTTGAGAGGCACCCCTGCTCAAGGGGAGATCACCGCCGCACAGCCAGCTGCTATGGAGGGAGAGCTCAACAGGCCCTGATGGCTGCACTTATTTACAGCATAAAGTGGTTGATTTGTAGTCAGATTTTCTGTGGTGTTATGCAGTTTCAGATGCTTATCAGCCCTGTCACCAGCCAAACCATTTTTTTTTTTGTTTGGTGCCGAGTTCTCACTGATGGCGTCACACAATGGAATTAACTTTTGTTAGGCCTACTTGCTGACCATCTGCCTCCACCAAAGTTCAGTTAGTTCAAACAGGAGGAGTGCATCCATCACAGAGGGTTCCTTCTCCATGGTGTTGCCAAAGCAAGGAAGGCAAAAGAGGGGTTCCAACCACACAGCAGCACAAAGAACAGTTTATAAAGAGTGCCACAAGTTCAGTCAAGCTCCTACTGTCTTATTTTGGGCTTTAACTGTTATTCCTGATTTTAGAATGCATATATATGTTGTAAAATTTTCATCACATAATCACAGCCATAATTAAGGTGCTTCCTGACTCCTCCCTTAGCCGCTGTGCAGGGAGAGGGAACTGGCCTTGGGGAAGAAGGATGTGCTTTTGCATGCATGTGCCTCTTCCTGTGGTTGCTCAGTCGGTCCCTGGAAGAATCACCTGCAGGAAGTGTTGTGAAGGAGGTTATGTATATGAGTGTCTGTTGTTAGTAGTGTTCTGAGGCTGCAGGTAGCAAAATAAATGGCTGGCCATGCAGGATAGAGGTCATCCTGGCTGTGCCTGTAGCAATGCTGAGCTCCAGCATGGTATGGCCGTGAGTTTGGTAGGGGAGGCTGCAGGCAGCAAGGCACTCTAATCTGCAGGGGAGGGCTGGTGTCCACTCTGTGACTTTCACAGTGAAGGAACAGACACAATGAAGAGAAGCTGGGGGAAAGGGAACCATAAGCAGAGGATCTTCAAAGAGGTCAAATCAGGTCACTGAAGACAACTGGGGGCTTACTCTGTAAGGTGGAGTGAAAAGAGTGGGTGATTTGAAGATGTTGTGGAGGAGAGCCATGGAGAGAGGTCATGCCACTTCAGAGGTGATACAGTGACAATGTGACAATCACAAGGATTTTGAAAGAGATCGATAGCCCAAGGCCCATCCTGCACCAGTCTCTGTCACATAAAGTTCTCCACATGATCAGGTTGTGATTTTCCTTGCAGGAAATAAGATCAGATTATCTTCATTTTCCATCTACTCTCTCCCTCATGTTCCAGTTCACTACTTCATTTCTCTTTCTCCAGGATGGACCCTCTTTATTCTACATCAAAGAGATGTGCCCACAGTGATAGGCTAGCTAGAAAACTGCAGCCACACTGGAACACGTCTCCTTCTGGACCTCTTCCTTTTGATGCCATTTCAAGGCAGAAAGGAAACACTCGATAGTTCTGGGAAGGTGTCACTGACAGGTTTCTTCACAGTGGTCTGTGGTATTCTGTTACCTCTCTGAATTTCAGGCCAAGCCAGTCTCCAATTTTGTCTTGTTACAGAAGATTGCTGCATCTCTTCTCTTTATGAAGTAGCCATAAAGATCAGTAAGATATTTGTGTTGTGCTCTGTGTATCCACAGAGTGGATTGAGTTTGTCCAAAACGCTCATAAACAAGTAAAGAGGGGTAATCACTTTGTTCCAAACAATTAGGAGAAGAGTGGGGCAGCAAAGCCATGAGTGGATAGAAGACTGCAGACTGCCTGCCTTGGAGTATAGATGCAAGAATATTGCTTGCTCTAAGGATAACAAAACAGCTTGAGTAATCAGGGTGGAGCTCACTGTTTGTTTCTTCAGTATATCACCTTCACATGAAGCTGAATAAGCGCACCCCTTAGAGCTTTTTCTAGGGGCTTAACTGAGAGGTCCTTTGCGCTTCCAAGATTTGTCTTGTGAGAGAGTTTGTGCATGCACATAATCTCACTGCAGTATCTCACGTGCTGCAACTGCTTTGAAATCCCAGATAATGCTGCCAGCCTAATACAGGCTCTATGCAGCCAGAAAGCTGAAGGCCTGACTCCTACTCCCTCATTACTTTCTATAAAAATGTGCAAAGTTCACTTTTGATTTTTGGGAGAGCTGGGATTTCTCAGCCTCCCCCTCTCTATGTGTACGTCCATACTTGTCAACCCTTTAAAACCACAATTTCATGCTCCTTGGTGTGCTTATCTGAGAGGCAGGACACTGTTACCTCCTTTTGCAGATCAGCATGGAGACAGTAAATGCTTACCCTAGAAGTCAATGCCGCAACAGTGAGTCTGGTCCCTTGTGTGTCAGACATGTCCCCTGACCTGATCTTCTATGAAGGCTGTGCATTTACTGCTCTCTACCATCTCGCTTCTCAAAAGAGAAAATGAGATGATGGTGAATGTGGCACTGCCACGGCTGGTCTGCTTTCAGTTGCTGCAGAATAGATGGCCCAAGGGATTGCTTAATGGTATACTGAGCCATTCCGTTTGAAGGCAACCATTTGCAAGATGCATTTCTGCAGCTGTGACCACAGTCACTGCTGAGTGACTAGCTCATTACTTCTCCACCAGTGAGAGTTGTTGGTGTAGGGCTGGCTCCTTCAGCTAGTGTGCCTTAGTCATCCTGTCCCTGCCCCTTCCCCCTGCCCCCCTAGTCAGTTGCGTCTGGGCAGGAATTGCCCTAAAGGAATAATCTGTTCTGTGTTCTGCAGTACATCAGACTGGAGGAGTATGGTTTGACCTCCTCTAACTTTGAAGGCAATTCCTTTTTTGCCTCTTTCTAGGTACACAAAGTTACTCCCAAGAGTTATTCCCCCCTGAGCCAGGATCCATTATTTCCTCAGTTCCAGATTACCTCTTTTCCAAAGTTTTTTTCATTAAAGAGAATTATTTTGATCAGAATATCAACTTAAGGAAGAGGGGGCAGGAATACAAGGCAGAGAAATAAGCATCCAGCCAATACATCAGGGAGAAACGTGTTTTATATGTGCCTTGATGCATTCTGCCTCAAAACCCTTTCAAAGATTATCTGTGTTCTCTCCTTCTTCCAGCAGAAAACCCCCCAAAACCTTGTTAGCCTTTTCATCCTCATCTCCAGCACACAGCCCCTATGTTGCATCCCAGGACCTCCCACTGCTGTTGCGCCCCCAGAAGGAGGAGAAGGAAGAGCTCCTGCCTCACCTGCTGCTCCCTGATGGCATTGACGTGCTGGAGAAGGTAGACAGGAAGTACCAAAAGAAGAAGAAGAAGCAGCAGAAGAAGCAAAGACTGCGACAGTTTAATGATCTCTGGGTTCGCCTTGAAGAAAGGTAGCTAATGGCTGGGGAGGGAGGTGGGTTTGTCATGCACACTGGTCTTTAACTTAGTACGCCAAAGTTCTGCAGGAGCTAGATACACACTGAGGGTAGGATCTGACCTTCTCCATCACCCTGATTCTTGCTGAAACTTTTACTCAAGGCTGCTTGTGCTTTTAGTGACAAAACAGCTTCTTCCACATGGTTTGGTTTGTGGAAAATTAGGCATAATACAAGTGGAAGCCTTGTCTAGACCGTTTTGCATTTGGGCTTGAGGGATTGTGAACATGTGGTAGTCCTGTTTATCACAGAAGGCTGGGTCCACTGGTAGGTGGTACAGATCAAAGCCTTGGACCTTTATTCAAGAGCTGCTGCGTATGTGGAAACTGTCATATCTGGCATATGTGCTCCTTGCATTTGGACAATATTTATGCAGTATTTCCAGTCTCTGTATTATTTCAGTCTTAAGAAGCATGTGAGCCCCATGGCGTTAATGGAGATATGGAAAGGGGGATGACAACCTAATGTATGATGGAGTTAATGTGAAAAATGGAGTGTGTTGTGAGGCAAAGGTTCACACATACCCCTTAGTTTTCACCCAGAAGAGCTTACTCACCTACAAGAACTACAGCAGCCTGCAAAAAAGCCAACTTCTCCCTCACTAGCTACACTTAGGCCTGTGGCTGAATGTGTACTGTAATGTTTCCCTCCTGTCAGATAGCACACAGACTTCAGTCTGCTCTCTTTTGTACTTTGTGTCTCTCTGCCATACTCAGGTTGAAAGCAATTTATTTTTATGGTGCTGTAAATAACCAGACAGGTCAGAATTATGGAGAAAGGCCAGCAGTTCTTGAAATGAAGCCTCTACATTCTTTTTTGTTCCTCTGAAGAGTATTTCTTCCTGCTCCCCAAGGTACTGAGTGTATCAGGGTTCTCCTATGCCACTCCTGTCGCATCCCTGGGTCCCAGCTGTACCACTGCTTTGAGTAATATATAGCCCAGGCTGGCTGCAAGTGGTTCCACCAACTGTTCTGTTCCAAGCATTCAGCCATTGTCAGGCTTTTCAGACCAGACTCTTTTTCCTCTTTTCTAGAGTAGTTTTGTGCGCTCTCTCTGCTCCTCCTTCTAACCTAAGTGTGAGTAGTTTGGAGAGAAAGGGAAACAAATGTACATGAAGATTTGCGTGCCCCTTGGCAGATTTGCACACAGTCCGAGATTCAGCAGTATAGTGAATCCTTATGTTAATCACATTTGATTTGGTATTTTAGTGTGTCATTTACTTTCTGTCATTTACTTTCTATTAATGATACCAGCTGTTTACGAATGGGCTTTTAGAGCTTCCGTGGACAGCGTGTTTAGTTGAAACTCTAAGGACTGATTTGGAGTCTCTATGATCTCAAGCTTGCACACTGACACGTTCAGCATTTCAGACGCAGTTGTTCCCATGAAGCTCAGGGGAGTCAGTGGGTGCCCTGATGTGAGATATGCATGCACTGGCAGCATCACTGCCTTCAGAAGAAGAGGGAAGGTGGGAGGATGTGCTGCTGTGACTAAATTGGAGGTACATTAGGGCAACATACTGGACTGCAGGTACTGCGAGGCAATGGTGAGGTAAAAGCTAATGACAGCTTAGGAAACTACTGCATAAATATGGGAGCAGCAAATGCCTCCTTTCCTTTTCTTCTTTTGTAATGTTTCCTTTCTTCCCCTACTAGTTAAGTCATCCTTTGTGCTAGCAACTTACTCGGGCGCTAGGTGATGAGTTCTTTTTAGGGGTGAGTCTTTAGTAGCAGAGAGCTTGAACGTCTGGAGACGGAGCTGATGCGTGGCAGCGCTGGAAAGCCGAGCGATGCTCACTGCGGCCGGGGGGGCTGCCGCGCCCTCGCTGCAGAGGGGGGGCCGCGAGTGC